GAATATTGGACAACCCCCACATGTCAGCGGAGAATATCTGGAACCACCTGAAAGCTGGAGACGTCTGGCTCTGTCATCAAACCGTTGGCGTGCAGCGTGGCCACTGGTGGGCTTTAATGGTGGAGTCCGACAACGACATGGTCCTTGCTGATGCAGAGGCCGACCCCAAGATGCTCCGCATTGCTGTCTCGCACATGCGGACCATATGTGAGGCACACCCAGGCGCTACCTTCTTCGTGCTTGTCTCTCCAGAGAACGCTGAGCCGCGCATGCACGGCGAGGTGTATCATCTTCGTGGAGGAGGAGGTCCTGGCAAGATGCACAGAAAGCGACCTGCCAGTGCTACGCCGCTACCTCACCAGGCAGTTTCGACTCCGTTGCGTACAATCGCCGCGACCAGGACGACCTGTGTGGAGTGCGGCGCTGCCCTACAGCCGTGGCGAGCGCTGGACTGTCGAGTCTATGGTCTTCACGGATGCTACGCGGCAAAGCACATGACGCACCGCTGCATGGCTCCGCATTGCCGAACCATGCACCATTACAACTATAGGTGGAACAATGGACAGAAGATAAACGCCTGCCTGTCACACGACCTGCAAATTTGTGTTCATAAATCCCAAGACCGCCTTCAGCCGCGACTTCCTCGAGTACCATGGCACCCTGCAACTCAGAGGATGCCTGAGCATCCACGCCATCGGCTTCGCTCAGAAAGAAGCTTTGTGGAAAGACGACAACACCCATGCCCGATGGCGGCATGAGTATTCCGCGGCCCAGCTCTACTACAATGTGCTGACGGCTGCAGAGAAAATGTGGTCAGTCTTGAAGCCGCAGGCTCGCTTCCAGAAGCTCCTGGAGATCGACCTGGAGAAGCCGCTCGGCAATGACTTCGTTGACGCCTATACCACAACTGGTGGCGATCGAATATCGCTCCCGATGCAGATCTTCTCAAGCAATCCACGAGGTTGTCCTGGATGGCCATGAGAAGGTTTCGAGCGTTTGCTATGACAACTTCCCCAAGCACGGTGGTCGCCCGAAAGCAGATGGCGCAGCAAAGCGCCGTACGAACGGCTGGTTTATGGCGGTGCATCCAGGCAAAGGTCTCATAGTCGGCCTGCGCGAAATGTACCACCCGGAAAACAATGCCGTCGCAGTGCAAGTTATGGTGGAGGTTACGGCAGAGATCCACACGGTGAACTGCATCGTGTACGATCGGATGTGCTCATGTTTGCAGGCCGCAAGGAGCTCCACCTCTCTGTTAATGGTCAAATACTGGTGCATCGACAAATTCCACGCTACTGGCCATGGCACCAACTGCCCCTGCTCGTCATTGGTGCACACGCGGCTGGAGCGCAGACTCGCCAAGGTTAACACCTCTATCGCCGAGCAAACTTTCGCTTGGTTCCGGGGCTACGCAGGGACATTCAACACGATGTCGAGAGAGACCCACTACTACGTGCAGAAGCATAACGACCTCGTCATGCGGCAGCACATTGGACACCTGAATCCCTGGAGCAAGGGCCGGCGTGGCGGAGCTTCTTCGAGGATCAAGAAGCGCCCAGTTGCCAGGCCCTGCGTCTGCCGGAAGCCCGCAGGATCCTCCTCGTCGCATCCCCCCGTCCGCCGCACCATTATGAAGTCTCACAGTAATTTTCGTCGCCCGGCTGCCAACAGAGCCTGACGGACTTTGTAGAGTTGTACGCTCAGCTGCAAGCGTCTATCCAAGCTGGACGCATTTTGGTGCAGCCCTAGTCTTGGCAAGCCACGCAATGACGTCATCTTCATAAGCACACTCTGACAGTATTCAAACTGACTCATACTCCATGCTTCATGGTGGCACGCAGCCATTGGTGCATTAGCTGCCCATACCACGCCTCGTCTCGTTGCAAAGGCTACCTGCTGGAAGCTTTCGGATAGCTCCGCATGCCCTGTAGTCACATCCGTCGTGCTAATCTCCTCATGTTCAGTCATCTGTGCCCGGTTTAACTAGTATCCGACTGCGAAAGCCATCCTGCTACGATCCCTGTGACTATGTAGCCCACAAACTCGGGAGTCATCCTCATATCGAGGATGTCCGGACATGGGAGGAATTCCTTAAGGACATGCTCCATACGCCCGACTAGAGAAAAGAAGATGGGATGTTGAGAAAAGAGAGACTTGTTGGCAGAATCGCAACTGAGTTATGTTTGCGCAGCCATGATTGTCGGAGTATCTTGCTGGATCTGACTGCCGGTTCTTACCCAAGCACTTACCCTCTCAAGTGTACAAGTTCATATGAATATTGCTGGACGCCTAGGTGCTGGCCTCAGCTGTCCGCTTTGCGCGGCAGTCAGCTTCTTTCAGTACTTCTGACTCCTATAAAGTGGGGGTACGCTTTCTGTCGCATTACGGCAACATGACTATGGAGCTAGTATACGCTTATAGACTTGCTCTTGCTCATCATATGAGCCATGTAGCGCGAACATCAGGAACATGCGTAAAATCCCTAAAAAACACGCTTTGTTTTTTGCCAGAAATACACGCCACCACGGCGTACCACACTCTAGGGTTTAGGGTTAGGGCGCAGGGTGTAGGGCTTAGGGGTTAGGGTGTAGGGTGTAGCACTTGAACCCAGATCAGCACGGCCTTTGTGTCTCACTGATCCTGTCCCTTCTTTCCAGAGCTGGAGGATACAGACTGCAAAGCTATGAGTCATGCGCCTTTGTTTCGGGCATACGAACTTGTCTGGATACCACAAGCTACATTCCAGAAGGGATGTTGAGCGGATTTTGCTCAGATTGATAGCCCTGTCCGGTGTCCACATGAGCTGCAGTCTAAAATCCTTAAAGGGGGGTTACATCGGGATTATATAGGGGATTAGTATAGGGGTTATTAAGGGGGATACTAGGAGCTTAGACTGTAGCTCACGTGCTGGCAGGGTGGATGTATGTTCTCCTTGGGACTAAGCTTGGACCTTGGACTTAGACCCTTTAACCTTTTGGGTCTGCCTAATGATCTCCGATTGTAGGTACCGAGAAGGGTTGAGCCTTAGTAGTGGTCCTAAGTGCGACGTAGTATTGAGAATTCCCTTATGATTGCCCATTCGAGTATCTTAGGCGCATGAAGGTGGGTGTTGAACACCAAACCTAAACTCTACGCCCCAGGTTTACTGGGTTGCTGTTAATGAACTTAGTTTATGTTACTATATTGGGGAAACCATATTAATTACTAAATATACTCATTATGGTAACCTAAGTTAAGAGTCCATAACAGGAACCTAGTGTAGGGTGTTGGGTTTAGGGCTGGAAGTCGATTTAAAGCCACGCGTATCGCCCCCTAAGTGTCCCTGGTGTCCCTAGGGGCACCCTTTTTGAGAATCTCCTGTGTGAGAAGCAATGCGGCTTGAATACTTTCCTCTTCTCTTCCTTTATACTGACTATATAACCAGCGTATAATGCAGCTCGAAACCCATCAAAAACAGTCATGTCCTTACGTTGCAATCCCCATACCAACCCGTACAGAAACCCAGCTTCCATTTCGTGTTTGATTTTCTTTCCATTCAATTCTGACTATGTTCTTTAGGCCATGAAACCTAAATCTTAACTTGAAACCTTAAGCCACAGCCCTAAACCCTAAACCCCCCTATCAAGCCCTATAACATCCCCCATCTCAGGAAAGTGAAAATGAAGGGGTGGGGTACCCCGGAACCGGCGCAGCTTTCACTTTCACTTTCGGGGGTTATGTTGTGGGGGGGTTAGAAAGTGAAACACGAGTCTGGGCACGTTCACATGTCTGAGTAAAAACTTGTGAGTCCTCGAATCTCTTCGATAATCGTTCCTGGGTGCGATTGTTCATTTTCATGTTGGCGCCTGTTGTGGGAGATGAGCGAAGGCTCTGACTCTTGCAAGGCTTTCTGCAACGTCTGAGGATTTCTGAGGCTACTCATGTCCGACAGGCATTTTGCCCAAGCCAAGTCCAGAGCAAGAGCTCACCTTCCCTTTGTCTTGCGCCTGATGGGGTGGCGTGTGGAATACCGCGCGTGGGCGCATGGGCGGAACGACTGCCCCTTTGTTAAAGGTTAGTTTTTTTTGGCTACCCACAGAGTTTCCTGCTTGCTTGCGCACCTCTGTGCCCATCTGCCCAGACTACTACACGTACGTGTCGCCCGTGCACAAGTCGAGTCGTTTCGACAGCCGGAAGAAGGCTGGCTTTTTTTGACCGCGGGCTTCCAGCTTCCACCTCTGTGAGCAATGTTTCAGGCGGACAAGTGGGCTGAGAGCGTGGGCATCGGCAAGGCAGACTGCTCTTGCGCAATCTGTCTCAAAGAATCATGTTTTTGGCAGGTGCCAGATGCTCTGCGCTTAGCAGCCAGAGAATCAGGCCACGCCGCAGAGGCCGGCGGCAGCATGTGACTGAAAGCACGCAAGCATCAGGGATCATGCAGAAATGGGCTTGCGCATGAGCTGGTGATAGCTGGTGTCTGCCGGCACTATGGCTCACAGCACCAACCTGTCCGCTTGTAGAGACCCATGACCCCATGTGCCTAAGCGCCATCTAGAGTCCTCAAAGCCAGCTTCCTACTCTTTACATCCCTATACCCTAAGCACGTGTGGGAGTCTTGAGCTTGCTGCGCCAACATGGCTCGGACGGGCAACACGAAGCGGCCTGCGCCTGCCTCTGAGACAGCCGCTGAGATGGTGCCTTTCCTATAACCCTTCTTGAAGGACCCCAGGCCCGAAACCCAACGCCCAAAGCCTTAAGTCCTAAATCCTAGCTCTCATTTGAACCATAGTCTAAACTCCTCAAAGGGGGTTATATAGGGAATTATATATGGGACTACTATAGGGGCTATTAAGGGGATGCTAGGAGTTTAGCTTATGGCTCATTTATTAATGTAAAGAGTGGAGGACTAGGCGCGTCCGCATTTTGCTTCTCGTTTCAGGGTTCCTTGGGGCACTAGAGAGGGGCCACGGATTAAACCAGATAGGCCGACGTGGAGAACGAGATCAATTTTTTGGTCAATGTAAGCTCCAAGATCAGATATGAGGCGAACGGGATGCGGCGCTGTGGACTCAAAATACCACACAAGGCCCAGGTCACAGGTCAAAAACCAAAGTCGAGTACGAACCTTAAATCCTAAACAAGTGGTCAAAAAGAGGTGCTGCAAAAATATACATATATATATATGAGCCCTAATAAGCCCCGATGGGCCCAAGTATACAAACAATACCCACCTTGGGGCCCTAAAGTCTTTAGATATGACCTACATTGGGCTATTTGGATCCTCTGGGACGTCCTACATTACTTCCCTAAACCCTAAACCCCAAAAGCCCAAATAAGATCGTGCATGGGGTACGGCCCCCCCTCAGTAACAGCTGGATAATAGTCATAATATAGTTATATATAGCCCTTCATAGGACCCGTAATATAGACTGTTACTGGGTGGGGGCAGTACCCAAATCCTACATTACTCCAGTCAGGCTTGCGCGCGCGGCGCAGGCGGGGCAGCTGGAGGAGCTTTCATCGTCGAGCCTCCATGAGGAGGACCGGAAAACTTACAGGATTAGGGTTTAGGTTTTAGGGTTTGGGGTTTAGGATTTAGGGTTTAGGATTTAGGGTTGGGGATTTAGGGTTTAGGATTGAGGGTGGGGGGATTTAGGGTTTAGGATTTAGGGTTTTGGGATTTAGGGTTTATATGATTTATAGGATTTAGGGTTCAGGGTTAAGGACTTATGGTTTTAGGTTTAGGATTTGGGGTTTAAGTTTGAGGACTCAGGGTTTAGGATTTAGGATTTAGGCTTAGGGCTGCGGGTTTTTAGGATATGGGGGGGTTTAGAATATTGGCTTTAGAATTAGGATTCAGGGTTTAGGGTTCGGGGTTAGGGGTTTTAGGGTTTGTTGGATTTAAGGTGTGGGGTTTGGGATTTATGGTTTAAGGTTTAGATTAATTAAGGGCTTAAGAATTCGGATTCAGGGTTCAGGGTTTAGGTTTTGTCCGATTTTGGGTGTGAGGTTCAGGATTCATGGCTTAAGGTTTAGAATTTAGGGTTGACCTTCTTAGTCCTAGGTTACTGGGGGGATCCTAGTTTAGGGATCTTTTGGCTTTTGAGTTTGCGGGTTGAAGCTGGGCCAATACCTACAAAGGATACAAAGCAGGAATGACCCCCCCCCAAACCCTAAACCCCAAACCCTATATTGGGTGTATCTAACATTACGGGGCATGGGGAGTTAGTGTCAGAAGGTGATGCAGTATTTGTGCAGTGGTATCAACAGCACCATCAAAGAATCACCAAGGGGTCCCATACGTATCTTCAACATACCTGGGCCTGCTCAGGTTTCCTGCTTAGGTATGCTGAGTTTCACACATCTATATATAATATGTGGTAGGTACCTGGACATTTTGGGATATGCTTCAGTCGTTAGACGTGTCTACTAAACCGCCACATGAGCTGTAGATACAAGCGCTTTGCTTTTGACGTTTGCTTTGTTGCGATTTGCTGGTTTGCAGAAATAGCGCCAACATCGGCCCCAATTTATTTCAATCCCA